TTGGGCATCAAGCGCAGATTAATTCTAAAAGCAAGAGAGTGGAGTTGGAGAGATATGTACCGAAGCCCATAGCAAACGAAATGGCTGGGCTAAATGTCAGTAAAAAGGAAGTAATTGCTCCAGCAATGCCAGAAAATGCCCAGAAAGTTGGGCATCAAGCGCAGATTAATTCTAAAAGCAAGAGAGTGGAGTTGGAGAGATATGTACCGAAGCCCATAGCAAACGAAATGGCTGGGCTAAATGTCAGTAAAAAGGAAGTAATTGCTCCAGCAATGCCAGAAAATGCCCAGAAAGAAAATAGCGGTTCTGAAGGTACTGAAACACTTCACCTTTATGGTTCAACTGCAGAGAAATCTGGGTCTGAAAAGTCAAGGCATGGGAATGGTCGGATGAACAAGCAAGGTAGAGGACATGGATCATGGCGTCAGCGGGGACCTGTTGAATCTACTAATGCTTTAGAAAACGGGCACTTTGTAAACCGGAGAACAGTGAATTATCATCAGCATCACCAATCGGATAAAAGTGATGTAGACTTTATCAGAGAGCAACCGGCATCTCATGACGATGAATGGAACGATGGGTGGAGTATGATTCCCGAAACTCAGAACTCTGGGACGACTGCTCTTCAATCTGCTGTTGGAAAAGATGAAATGACGGCACAAACTCTCAGAGGCAACAAGGGTGGAGGAAGTAACTATGGTGACCACAAAAAATCCAATACCCGAGATTTTAATAAAGGTTATGTGCAACAGTTGGGATCTAATGTATGTCAATCAGATTCGCGTGGTGCTTCGAAAGACAATCATGGCCTTGGGGATCGTTCGGCTTCTCATTGGCAACCAAAGGCACATGCACCTGTTGCCTCTAATCAAGGAGTAGGTAAGAACGGTAGTCCCGAAAGTATTAGTGCTGAAACTGATAGAACTAACAAGGACATGCCCAGTGATGAACATCAAAGGTTCGCTGGAGAACAGAGGACAACACCTCCTGATAGACATGTTCAGTCTCAAAACCAAGCATCCACAAAAAAGGAGGTTCGAGTAGAGCAAAACTCGAATTCAGGGTTCCACAAGAACAAGGGACA